CTGTCCGCCCTTCTGCTGGTAGACTGAATGGATACAGGTGTTTTCCATAGCTCATCTGATGTTTCCATAATGGCCTCGTTTATAGGTAAGGCAATCTTTCCGTGTAATGTGGGATGCAGATTCATTTACAGGTGGTGCTGTTTTTCCTGTACTTATTGGAGATGGGTTGGCTTGCTGCCATCCTTTTAAAAAGCTCTTGAAATTGTTTAAGGTCATCAATTGGGCACCTGCCAGACTGTATGACCCCGTCATCTAGCAGTGGCAGAGAACTATCCACTAGGAACACATCAAGAGAGAGAGAGAGAGAGAGAGAGAGAGAGAGAGAAAGTCTGGGTCCTTGTCAGGTATTTGTTCATCCTCCTCCTCCTCGGAGAAGTGGGTCTACCCCACGAAAGCTCATCACCTGATTAAAGACTAACAAGATAGTTTAAGTGCTACACAACTGCTTTTTTTTGTTTCTCCTCCCCCGAGTCTTCCGTAGGAGAGAGGGTCCGGGTTGTAGGCAAACCCCTTCTAGCTGGAATGAATTGAGGACCGGTGTCTATATGGTTCCCAAGATGCCCACTGCGGTGGATAAGGTGGAGGGTAAGATTAGTGTGGGTACCAGGGGATTTGATGTGGTCCAAATCTGTAGTGGTACGAACACAACCTACTCAGTGATGTATGCCGTGAAGGGAATGCAGAAGATGGTCGTTATCTGGTAAAGGTCTGCAGTGAGAAATTACTGGGGCTTTTGGTATGTGCAGAGAGCCACAGGCTGAAGACATTGCAGGTGGCAGACGTGCGGGGAAGGGTAGGAGGGGGCACTAGTGCTGATGTTTGTTCTGATTATCAGCAGTTAATTGCGGCATCTCTGCTGCTACCCGCCTCAGCTGTCAGCACGGGTGTAAGAGCACATGGCATTACTATAGCCAGTTCCTCTTTAATGGAGTGAACTCCTTTTCCTTGCAGTGTCGCAGCTTTTTATGAGGTGCTGGCTTTTCATGCAGGGTCGCAGAAACATAGCACTCAGGCTTCTGTAGGCACCGAGGACAGCAGTTAATTGCGGCATCTCTGCTGCTACCCGCCTCAGCTGTCAGCACGGGTGTAAGAGCACATGGCATTACTATAGCCAGTTCCTCTTTAATGGAGTGAACTCCTTTTCCTTGCAGTGTCGCAGCTTTTTATGAGGTGCTGGCTTTTCATGCAGGGTCGCAGAAACATAGCACTCAGGCTTCTGTAGGCACCGAGGACGTACCTGCCGGGGAGTGGGGAAGTGACTTTCTTTTGTGGGAGTCCTTCTGCAGTCTGGAGGCATTCTGAGCCTCAGCAGGCTGCAAACCCTTGTCAAATAATATCATCCTAAGACAGAGCTCTCTATCTTTTCTGGCTCTCGCCATGAGAGGGGAATAATGGTCACATTTGTGCGATGGGTAGGTTTCCCCCAAGCACTGTATGCATAATGAATGTCCACCCATTACTGGCATAGGATTCCAGCACTCCTCACATTTTTGAAACCCAAGGAGCCCGCCATCTTAAGTATTCTGAGGTGATACTTCATTATTTCCTTTCTGTCTTCTTCTTCTTTTTTTTTTTTTTTTGGAAGTGACTTTCTTTTGTGGGAGTCCTTCTGCAGTCTGGAGGCATTCTGAGCCTCAGCAGGCTGCAAACCCTTGTCAAATAATATCATCCTAAGACAGAGCTCTCTATCTTTTCTGGCTCTCGCCATGAGAGGGGAATAATGGTCACATTTGTGCGATGGGTAGGTTTCCCCCAAGCACTGTATGCATAATGAATGTCCACCCATTACTGGCATAGGATTCCAGCACTCCTCACATTTTTGAAACCCAAGGAGCCCGCCATCTTAAGTATTCTGAGGTGATACTTCATTATTTCCTTTCTGTCTTCTTCTTCTTTTTTTTTTTTTTTTTTTTTTTGTGGTTGAGAAGGGGGAAGGGCCGGTAGAAGCCCGGTTCA